TCCGAAGACCTCGCATCCAAACTCGGCAGCTCCAAGACCAAGGTTGCCGATACCATCAACGATGCTGTCAAACCTTCCGACATTGTCTTCATGTGCCTGGGCGACGATGCAGCCGTTAAAGCTGCTGTTGACAAGATGCTCGAAGAAGATGTCAAGGGCAAACTTATTGTAGATTGCTCCACGGTACACCCGGAAACGACGAATGCTTTGGAGAAGAAGATAACCGAGAAGGGGGGTGAGTTCGTGGGCATGCCAGGTAAGTTACGCATGTGAAGATAGAAGTGCTCCCCCAGGACGGGCCTAACAACATCCCAGTATTCGGTGCCCCAGCCATGGCAGATAACGGCCAGCTTGTTTGTGTGACAGCAGGCTCAAAAGCGTCCTGCGATAAAGTAGTCCCGTATACGACAGGCGTGATGGGTCGCACGAACATCGATTACTCAGGCCAGCCAGCAGGAAACGCTACCCTCATGAAAGTCATCGGCAACACCTTCATTTTGAACATGGTCTCGCAGCTGTCCGAAGGCCACGTCCTTGCCGAAAAGTCTGGTCTAGGGGTCGACAACCTCCACACGTTCATCTCTACCATGTTTCCCGGTCCCTACACCGCGTACTCGCAGCGCATGCTAGCCGGCGACTACTATCAGCGCGAGGAACCTCTCTTCCATATCGACTTGGCACGAAAAGATGCAAGGCATGCCATGTCATTGGCGGAGAGCAGTGGCGCGAAGGAAAGTATGAAGATGCTAGGCTTAGCACAGGGTAGACTGGATAGTGTGAAGAGTGAAATCGGAGACAGAGGAGATATTCCGAGTGTTTACGGAGTTGTGAGGAAAGAGAGCGGCTTGGATTTCAAGAACAAGGATTAGATGGGTGAATCTTCTATTGCAGTTCTGGAATAATCTTTGGTTCTCACCATGTTAGGGTGCCCCTGGACGCCGTGTGACGTGATATTCGCCGGAGAGGTACTCACTACGCTAATTGCGACTGCCATTATTACAAGCATGGCTATCGCAACTTCTGCTCGACTTACTTTCCACAGAAAGCCCGATGCACACGCAATGTACCGCGGCTCTTCAACGCGGTTCAGACATGACGCGACGTGTGCTGATCACTACCCGATTTAACCACCATCGATGCAGACATTCGGTCTAACTCTGCCGAGGATGCATCATCTGTCAGAACATCCTCCCAACGTCACATCACGCTAGACTCCTCAGCGTTAAAATCCCCAGGTTTTACCCCAGCTTCTCCCCTCCCCACTGCTTGATGAGGTCAAGCCTCATCTTGGCTGCAACGGCGGGTTCGTAGAATCACCCTCTGAGATCGAGTCTGTTCTTGCGAAACCTGGTTGCCGTGCACATGGACCGACATTTCTGCCGCCAGCTCACGTGGGTGACAGCAGGTACTTGAGGGCCTGAAGACCCTGCCGATTTACCTCATCGCGACTGCCTACTGTTGACTCCACTCAACTCAACCTCAATGCTCGAATCTTTCGTCCAGTCCACGACCTGATCGGCATTATCCACAGACCAATCGCTAATCGGCATCTCTATCGTATCACAAAGCGAACATGGGGTTCCTTAAGAGACCCACACTGCGCAGTCGCGACGACCAGAGGACGCGTGCTGCTGAACTGACGCTGCGCGAGTCCATCTACCCGCTCTGCCTCGTCACCATTCTATTCTTTCTCTGGGTGAGCCACGACGATGCCTTAAACCCAGTGTATGTGGCTGATGATCATAGGGATTCTCGTACGGTCTTATCGATACCCTCAACAAGCATTTTCAAGACGTCCTTGGCATAACGCGCGCTCGCTCTTCAGGCTTACAGGCAGCATACTTCGGCGCGTACCCACTTGCTTCCCTCGGTCATGCCAACTGGCTTCTGCGCCACTGGGGCTACAAAGCAACCTTCATCTGGGGTCTGACACTTTACGGCGTGGGCTCTCTTCTTGCCTGGCCATGTCTTGTATATCGTTCGTTCGGAGGCTTTTGTGTAGCCATCTTCGTCATCGGTAATGGACTAGGCTCGCTTGAGACAGCAGCCAACCCTTACCTGGCTGGTATGTATGAGTCGATTGAATGATGGATGCAGTACTAACGAAAGTAGTTTGCGGACCACCCAAGTATTCAGAGATCAGGATCAACATCGCGCAGGCTTTCAACGGCATCGGCACTGTGGTAGCGCCAGTTTTAGGGTCATATGTCTTCTTCAACAACGTTGGCACCGATCAAGCATCCCTTGAGAACGTGCAATGGACTTACCTCGGTATCGCATGCTTCGTTTTTCTCCTTGCGATCGTTTATTACTTCACGGAGATACCTGAGATCACTGGTAAGCTTGCTCCTTAATGGGAAATGACCAGGTGCTAACATCCACGAGATGCCGATATGGCTTTTCAGGCTGAAAGCACTCACGCTGGCACCGACGTAAAGCCTTTCCGCAAACAATACCGTCTCTTCCATGCGACATTTGCTCAATTCTGCTACACTGGCGCACAGGTGGCGATAGCTGGAGCCTTCATCAACTATGTCGTCGAGACAAGGGTCATAAATGGACGCGAAACCGACAATTCGACAGCAGCTCGGTTCCTTGCTGGTGCACAGGGCTGTTTCACTATGGGTCGCTTCATTGGCAGTGCCTTCATGAAGTTCGTCAAACCACGATGGGTGTTCCTCGCGTTCATGACGTTATGTATCGTCTTCGTCATCCCTTCCATTACCGAGCGAGGCAATACCGGCATGAGCATGCTTTACATTGTACTCTTCTTTGAGAGTATTATCTTCCCGACGATTGTTGCGCTTGGTATGCGCGGACTGGGCAAGTACTCAAAGAGAGGCTCGGGCTTCATCGTGGCCGGTGTATCTGGTGGTGCTGTCGTCCCTCCACTACTGTTTGGAGCGAGTGACACGCTAGGGAAGGCTAGACCTCTGGATGGATATGCGCCCACCGCCATCGCCATGACCGTTCCGATGGCGTTCTTCATTGCGGCGTGGAGCTATGCTTTCTGTGTCAACTTTGTGCCAGCCTACCGTAATGTCGCAGACAAGTTCTCCACAGCCGAAATTGGTATCGAGAATGCGCATGCAAATGATCCTGAGCGTCAAATGCAGCACACAGATGGTGGTGTACTTGCTAAGGAGGAGTCGCCAACTCATACCGAGGCGGTAGATATCGACAGGAAGACATAGGATGACTCTCTTGTCGAAGTGGGCGAAGAGGAGGAAGCGGAAGTGGCTGCAAGTGGGACTAACGTTGATGGAGTACACGCTACGGTTGCTGAGGATGCTCAAGTAGTTCAGGGGTCTTGAAGTCGGCGTACAGCGACTTGCATGACAAGAAGAAGTGGTTCACTACACCGTTGTTCCATATCTGAAGCCACCATGAAAGTCGTATACCTAGCAGTCGAAAGTCGTACTTATTAGTGCATTGCTTCCACTGATATTATCTACCAGCCACAACACCAAATATCGAGTAGTGTGAAGTGCTGTAAGTGCCCTGTACTCACTGATGTCGCTTTTCGTCATCCTCCTATTCTCCGTCCTCCATTTCTTGATCCTCGTCTTCACGCGACTTGTCCTCATCTGAGTCGTCAACTAAGATAGAATCCTCCACCGTTTGACCTTTTATTATCATTTCTAGATCCCACTTCTGTTTACCACGATACTTCCTCAACAGAGCGATTGTCAAATCCTTCAAGAATTCTGCGGGATACTCGTCTGTCTCATCGTCCTCAATCCAAGCAGCATCCGCTGTGTCTGCCCATAGTTGTACCAAGACCAACCTTAGTGATGATCCCTTGGCTGTCTTATCGTAAGCGAGGCGGATACTGTCCGGACCCGGATATTCATCAATGTCTTTACTAACTTCGACCAATCCCTGTATAACGTCTCGACAGAACTTTTTGCTCTTTAGTTTGAGTCCTAAAACGTATGCCTTAACAAGTTCATGTGTGTCAAGAGAGAATTTGCCATCTTCATCCGCCCGGTCTTCAACCGCGATATGATCATAGTAAAGCCACTCAACAAAGATTGCGAAGGCATCAGCGTCGATGGCGGAAAACTTATGTACTGTGATGACGTCGGTGTCATTCAACCAGCTGTGACGACAGAAAGGACAGTTGACTGGTTGACGAGCTGTCTGCTTCTCCGCCTTCCACTTCTCAATGCATTTATGATGAAAGTTGTTACCACAATGTGTAGCGCAGTAAGTAAGCTCTTGTATACCGTGCTCGAGCGGTTCCGTGCAGATCGCGCATTCACTGTCTTTCTTGAGAGGCTTGCGCTTCGGTTGTAGCTTTTTCGTGAAGAATGTGGATCTGCTGCATATGATGTCTTCGGGGACAGTGAACTCCTCGCCGCGTGAAACTTGGACGCGGACGATTTTGTGGCCGAACCTAGGAGCGGGTTAGCGGTTGGTGTTACAATCCTCACAGAAAACGTACCGAATAGCTCGCTTCTTCCTAACGCTGATGCGCTTCTCCTGCTTGGGCATCTTTCCTGGTCTTGATATCTTCCGCTACTTGAATGGCGCGGTGGCTGAATAAGATCGTTTTTGAGCGGTTCTCTAGTCGGGGTATGAGCATTGGATGACAAGCCGATTAGGCAGTACCTACGGGTGAGTGATATTCTATCGTTCAGTTGCACTATGTTGCTTCGGTAGTTGCAGACCAGTGCGCAACGCGCAACCAGTAGGAGTGTCTCGGGCCCCGGAAACTTGATGAGCTGAGGCCCGCAGTGTTCTCGAAGTGAATACTGTTGTGATTCACGTTAGTAAAGGTCGACGTAAGGCACAACATCGAATGATGGGTCGGGGTAAAGATGTGATGTACACAGTCGTTCGATTGTCTTCGTTTCGAGCTAATGCAGTTCGATTGGGCGTAAACAAGCATCAAACCTCGTATATCGTGTTTGGGTAGTGTAAGTCCCGAATGCCAGGTGCAAGTCATCAGAATGAGAAACAAGAAGACAGAAGACTCCCAGTGCCGTCACGAACGCTCACCCTTTCGACCTGTATACAACCAGTCCGCCGTCGTCCGAGTCATCGGAAAGAGGCATGGAGCGGACATCTTGCTTCAGCCGACGCTTCGCACTATGTGTATGCTTCTTCACTTCGACCTTTTGACATGGACGCTTCCTGGTTGCTGGTACTTCTGTAGCTTCAGCTTTGGGACTATTCAGACCAATAGCTGGATTCCTGCCTCGCAGACTTCGCGGTGCTGCCGACGCTAAACTCGTGCTGCCGCCTACAGGCGCAGTATCTTCGTCATCGCTCGTCAGATCCACTTCTACGCTCAGCTTCTCCATCCACATCTTCCTTGTCGCTCTGCCATCTTTCCTGTCTCCCCACCGGACCATGGCTGCATCTGCTAGCTCACTCACGAAGGCCTCTGGCCAGTTCTTGCCCTCGCTCTTGAACCAACCGGGCTCGATATAGGCAAGCGATATGTCGATGACGAAAGCTCGAATTTCGTCATCGCACTTACGCTCCACGAAAGCCCACTTCACGCTCTCTTTCCAGAAACGCGCGCGAGCTTCTGCGAAGTAAGTGGCAATGACTTGCGACTTGAACACTGGATCTTCGACGGCGTTGGCAACAGTCCAGAGTTTGAGGATGACAAGATTGAAGGCATCGTTAATGCGAGAGACCTTTGCGGATATGTGTAAAGTGGAGGTATACAGCCAGTCCAGGTAGATTTGCGTAGCCTCAGCGTCTAGCTCAGACTCTAGGTCTAGCTCCTTGGGTAGTGACTCGTTCTTCCAGCTCGCACGACACATCGGACAGGTCGGGATTGACTACTTCTTGAGAATGGTAGTCGATGAGCGCTTCCAGGCTTCCATGCAGACTTCGTGGACATTTTGCCCGCACTTGGAGCAGAAGGAGATGTCTCCTATCATAGCGTTGAGAGTCTCAGCGCAGACGCAACATTCATCAATGCTGAAGATGGGCTTTCGGTTTCTCTGGAGGCGGTCTTTGAAGAATCGAGAGGTGTTGCAGATGAGGTCTACGGTAAACGAATGGTGTTAGTATGTTGGACTCCTGAAATGGCTTTATGTGTTGTTACCTTCATGTACAGTGAAGCGGCGATCAATATTGGGGGCCTTGAAGCTTATGATTCTGTTGCCCACACTGCGCAATATCAGCAAGTTACATGTGGTATAAGAGGGACGGAGTGACGTACATAATGGGCCCCAACTTCTTGGTCGCTCCTCGAGATTTAGTGATGGTCATCTGCACAAATGGTGATCTTGTAGAATGAGAATGCTATAAGCTGGAGGGCACGGAAGACACGACCTAGATAGAAGTACTGCAGACACAAGAGGGTGAGAGCCGGGCCGTGCGCACCTCGTCATGGAGCGGTGACGGTACCTCAAGGTGAGAGAACCGCCAAGAAGCATTCCAGTATCCGAGCAAGGCGAGCATGACAGTCGTTTTGAAGGCAGCCAATAAGTTTTCCGAATAGAGCGAACGTTATAGTCGTACCTGCACCTTATACAAGAAAAAAACTGAACAGGTCTGCAGACTACATCAATACAAGAACTTGCAAAGCAGGTGACCTAACTTTTACGCAGGCTCTGATTGTGTATATTTGTCCTAGGCTGGCGTGCCCGCGAAGAATCGTATATCTCTTGTGTGTGAATGGATCAGCCGACGTGGTCGAGAAAGCCCAGCCGGATGACAAAGACATCAATTGATGTGAGACATGATACTCCGTGGCGCCGATCGAAAGGATGAAAAGCGTAAAACAAACTCTTCAAATGGGTATTCTGCTCATCACCGTCCTCTGCTGGTGACTCCAGACACGGTATACATCATAAGCTATGTAGCTTTGTCATAGCCAAATTCCACGCCGTCTTCCAACGCCGTCGAAATGCCGCCAGTGCCGAATATTACGCGTTTTCTGCTCAGCGAAAGGCCGTAGACGATCTGGTCCTATACGCCAATGTACCACAGCTCAACGCCCATGACCTCGAATTTCTTGCCATCGTCACTAAGGGGCTCGTTGCCAAACGTCGGGCACGTATCGGAGACGCCCTTTTCGAGGTTGTCGTCTAGCCATAGGCCATAGTGACCGTCACTGCGACACCGTCAGTCCACTGAGTCCTTAATGATAACAACACGCTGCTACTTACCCGCCGCCAACACTCAGGTAGCTATGCTCGCAAAAGATCATATAGTCATTCACCCCGCTGTAGGGGAATGCCTTGAATCTTATTCGTTCTGGCGTGCTCGCACCACTCTTACTGGCCCGACCGTTCTGTGGGGGTGCTAGCGAATCGCCCTTCCTCTTCGGTGAAGATATGGTTGTCATTCGCACAGCGTCCGTCGTATCTTCGGATGGGGGTGGTGGGAGGTTCATCTGCAGGTCTGAGAAACCTGAGAGTATGTGCGCGCGCCAGAGGAAGCATTCGCCGTTGCCGTAAAATGATGTGGAGGGCCGCGGTGCGTCGGAGAGATATGCGCCGAAGATCTATAGCGCTACGTAAGCATTCGCCCTGGGGTTGTCCTGACGTTCGCAAACTTACACCTCCGCTGCCGTCTTTGACCACCAGTACAAAGCCACCTCTCTTGCCCAGATAGTCTTCAGATTGCTTGTATAGTGTGCCTAAGCTGACACCGTTCTGTTCCAGACTATATGCCAGACTCCACTCATCCACTAGTTGTAACCTTGGTGGAAGCAGGAGCCGGATCTCTTCAGCAAGCGCCGTGCTCAGAAGCTTGCCCTTCTCTCGCATGTTGCCTCCCCATCCTCTCAGACTTAGCGGTGTCAAGGGAGGCGGTTGGAAAGGGCTCGCTATCCGATGTGGCGGCTGGTAGACCGAGTTCATATCTGAGGTGGTGGAGGAGACGAGGTTCGCAAATGTGTGTGAAAGTGAAGATGCGGTGGACTGCAACTGGGCTTGTATGTTGCTTGCGCTGTTACGGTTGCTGTTGTTCTCCGATCTCGATTGCGCGTCTGATTTGGGAATGGCGTCCGTGTTCAAGCGTCGCAGGATGCCCGAGACTGCATAAGAGACGGGATAGGTGAAATATGAGGACGAGCGGTTGGGTGTAGAGCGCTGCGATGGCGGTGAGGTTTGCGACGAGGGCGAGCGGAACGGGGAAGAGGACGGGGTATCTGGTGGGTACGACATGAGCGGCAACTAATTGCGATGGGAGTAATGTTCCTGAATTAATGTGGGTCGCGTGTTGGAGGTGGTGTGCTGGGGCTGTCGCAGGGCAGAGTAGCTGTGACGTTGCGCAAAATTAGTGGGCTGACAGCTGCTTGGAGCCTCACAACACCACCAGGATGGGACGTGGCTGTTACATAAGCAGGCCTGTGGTTGCGGTGAATGCATGGCCAAAGGCTCTGATGAGCGCATACTAATACAGGACATGTCGGCGATGTATGCTCTGTGATTGCTTCACCCTCTGGCACCGCGACGTGTAGCTTGCGGAGCCCTGACCGCTTTAGCTTGCTAGCGTGTCGCGCGAAAGCTTGATCTCCGCTACCCGGTAGGGCTGACCTCGCGTATTCATCGTGCAGTCAAGCCAGGATCCCCATTGTCGGTCGAAAACTCGAGGATGATTGTGGTTGAGATAGTAATGCTCGATCGTGGCGGCGGTATCTCAGCGCCGTGATAGTTAACATGTGTCATCCCCGCGACCCACAGTGGCATTTCTCATAGCATGCATCGGCTCGAGAAGGTACCGAGAGTTCCATTCTTGATTGAATGCTACTAGTGTCGGTATCTCTACACTCTCAAAATGAAGCCCCAGACGGTCTATGTAGTCTCGGCGTCTGCCTCCTTTGTCGCTTCTGCGAGGTCTCGATCCAAATGCTCATCTCCCGCAGCATCTGCGTCTTCTTCCCCGTCGTCTCCGTCGCTCTTAAGCTTAGCACCCTTTCTTTCGGGCATGACCGCCATGAACGCCTTGCCCCAATCCCCAAACTCCATCCACTTGAGCATAATCTCTAGCACATGGTTCGTGACCAATACTTGCCGGCTTTTCATCTCAAGGTATTCGCCAATAGGTAGCTTTGCAGTCTTGATCCCACGGTTCACGGCGCGCTTGTGACATATGCCTTTGTGTCGGTTCTTGTCAACCAGTCCACCGATAATGTATGTACTGTTGGGCTTCAAGTGAGTTAGAACGTTGTCAGACTCAGATGAAAGATAGACGACTTCGCCTTCCTCTACTGCAGCATCAGGTTGTTCTTGATCGCCCAATGCAGTGGCTTCTGCTGATGTCTTCAAAGCGCCGAGAACTTCTCCCCCGTTTGGCCCTGACATCCACGCCTTCGCTTTTTCGGAAACCTCAACGAAATCTTCTTCGAAGAACTGGAACCCCTTCCAACTTGTGTACTGCTTTGCTAGAATGCCATCGAAACGCTCCTTCATCTTTCCACCGAAGCTGCTCAAAGCTAGATGGGTCCTGAAGTTCGCCTTTCGGTTATCGCTGTAACACCTCGTAATCTGAAGTCCCAAGCTCTTGAGCTCGTTGTCAAACATCAGCTCTTCGAAATCGCAGTCGAAGATTACTGTGATTGGTACTTGTTTTCCAGTTGCCTGCCGAGGAGGTCGCGAAGCTGGCGGCCTTGGTCTCTTGCCATTCTCGTCGGTAGGCATCTGCGCCCACTCTTCTCGCCTTCGCTCTTTCTTCTCTTTGACTTTCTCTTTCCGCTTGAGTTTGCGATCTTCGCGACCGGCTTCCCAGCGTTCGAGCCTCCTTTGCTTTTTGAGCTGGTTTTTTGACAACTTTGGCTCCGCATTCTCACCCCCAGCCGGTGTTCCGACAGATTCTACGGCGTCGGCTTGATTGCTGTTTTCCGCTGCGACAGGTAGTTGTTCGTTTGGTGTCGGAATCGTAGGTGCTTCTGCCACATCCTCAATGCTATCCGCATGCTCTAGCTTGCGCAACTTCGCAGGACGCTCTTCGGAATCCATCTTCGAATAAAGTTTCCTCGGTTTGTGAAAATCAAGAGTGCTGCCTTCCACCCACTCAGCGTCGACAAAATTATGCTCACTCACTTGCTAGCGCGCCAAGCCAGATCCCTGTCATCGCGGGTTCCCGAGCTCGAACCTCACTGCACGTCTCCGCATCGACGACAACTTCGAATACCCATTGAGCCACGAATAATCGCCCAACATGCCGCAGGATATGCCGCCATCGGGCGGCTACAGCCCCGTACAATACAAGCGCAACCTGCCCGTACGAGGCTTCCGCCCCGCCGCATACCTCTTCGGAACCGCGGCACTCATGACCTACGGATTCTGGAGAGTTGGACAGGGTATCCGAGAGCACAAGTACGCGCCTGCCCTCGAGAGGAGACTCGCGAGTCTTGAGATATATGAGCGAAAGTGCTGACAAGTCGCAGCGAACTCGCGCGCGAGAAGATGTGGGCGCGGATACACCTCATCCCCGCGCTGCAAGCCGAAGAAGACCGCGATCAAGTACGAAGGCACCTCGCAGATAAGGCGAGAGAGAAGGAGCTACTCGGAACAGAGACCAGGGTCTACAACAGCGACAGGTATGGTTTGAAGACTTGGCTTTGTAGACAACTTTGGCTAATTCACGTTGGCAGATTCGTTCGCCCTACCTTTGCAATCACGCCCGAACACGAGACGAAATAGACTTGCATACCGCGCTGGAATTGTACATATAAATCCACAAATCGTTGGCAGGCTAAGGAAACGCTGTCTCCAAATGTTATCTTTCGTTGTGTTTGAAACTGTGACGCGACGTAAATCCCAAGGCTTCAAACGGTGAAATATCGTTCCGAGAGGGTCGTTGCGCGTATACATACCGAGATAGGGTGGTTTTGCAGGTGCTGACGAGGGGACACCCTGTGATAGGCTTCCAAAAGTGTGGTTCACAATACGTTGCGATTCCTTGGGTTCCACTGGACCCGTGAAAGTGACACCCCACCCATTGTATCGTGCACTCTCCCGCGCGTCGAAACGCGCCACCTGGACCAGGCAGTGCGCCTTGTCGTCAACTGCGCCCAGCGCCTACAGCCCTTCTATATTTCAACTCTACTAACCCTCCCAACCGTTCGCTGTATCTGTCCATAACCGACCCTCGCCAGCCGGCGCAACCTTTGGCGACGACATAGCGCAATGTCTTTCATCACCAACTTGTTCGGTAGCCTGAAGAATGCGACGCCTGTCGACACAGGCACCTTGCCACGCGCAGATGACAATGGCACGCCCGATGGAGCCGACGAGGACTGGGATTTTGTAACAGCGCACGAAGCCGGAGTCGTCTACGACGACCGTATCACGATCCTACTTGGTCCCCATCGAGAGACTCGTCACCACATCTTCATCGCCGACATGCCCAGGTCTTCTAAACTCCTTAATCATGTCTGCACTCTCGAACCATCACAACGATACTTGCATCTCTCCCTCCCCGACCTCTTCATGGTGAAACTATATCTCAAATCGCAGTTCACATCCGTCGACTCGCTGGCTATCGAACAGTCCTGGTCAAACATCATTAAGCTAGCCATCACTGCCGATATCTTCCAAGACGCCTACATGGGAGATAGGGCCCTCGCAGCGCTCACGACGAGGGGCATCTTCGCCCTCGAACCCAACAACGCGGTGTTGCTGTTCAAAGAAGACGACTTTTCACTCGCCCGGGAATATCAAGACAAGACAGGCAACGGGCAGAAGCTGAGAGAGACACTTGACAAGGTTGCAGAAAAGGGTGTAGAGAAGCCTAAGCCGCCCAAATTGGAGCTACCCAAGCCTCAGGACGTGAACTCCAAGCCCGACGTCTACAAGCGGAAGAGCGAGGGCACAAGGTTCGGTAAAAGCGTATTAAGAGGGCTGGCACAAGCCACCGCAAAGAAGGGAGGTGATATGGATGATAAAGTGCATCCTACACGGCAGCCCAGCGTTCCGCCAGGCGTGGATGCGTTGAAGCGTGGCGATGCCAGCAACTTCATGTGGCCTGACAAGAACGTGAAGAAGTGATCTCGAAGTCTTCAAAGATATGTTGGACGAAGAAAACTCTACGCAAACCTCACGGTCACGGCTCGTGGCTTCGAGACCCCATGAAGGGAAATTACAGCCGTCTCATTGATAGACGTCATTTGGAGAGTTAGACTAGTCGTCCGTCTTACAATCATTAATATGCACTGCCCATCTACATCTGCATGTGACGTCGTAATCATCTGAGGACACAGCTAGGCCATCTCCTCTGTGCATCTGGAACACAGACATGGCCCTTCAAACCATGGCGACAGCAAGTCCTGTCTCTGCTCCACCGGTATACCATGGACGTTTACATAGCTGCAAAACAGTTCGTCTCCCATCATCACTGGCTTGATCGCGAAAAAGCGTACAGTCGTACTTCCGGTTTCTCTTCTCCACTCCACGTTCGGTGCGCAACTGTGATTGAACAGCGGTAGATGAGGTGTGATTTCGTCAACGAAGCCAAGCCGGGGGTCTATAGAACCAGCTTTGTTATTGGCTAGACGCGTCCAGATGGAATGAAGAACCTCAGTATCGAAGTTGCGGTTTGCGAAGACGTCCACACCGAGTTGCTCTAATATCTTGAATGGGATGATGATGGATTCATTGAGAGTGAAGACATCAAGATGATCTTTGTTGGCGAGAGGCTTGAGACGCGCAATCAGCGGGTGATCTAACGGTGACTTTTCAACACCAGCTTGAACGCATGTTGCCAGCAATCGTAACATGAGGAGAGGTCGGAGAGGTGAGGCGTTGTGCGTCAAGCCTCTAGCGGGTGCCTGGAGCCATTCAAAGTCTTTACCGCATAAAACTCTATGATAGGTGCTCATCGCGAGGCGGAGACATTCGTCGGAGCAGTAGCTCTCGGAACAGCACGTCGCCCCTTTGGCAGCATCCGGTAAACGCGCATAGCAATTGGAACAGAAGTCTGGTGGCGGGGTGCTGCATAAACCGGTTGCGGTTCGGTCTGTAAGTATACATTCGCCAACCCTTATGTCGCGAGCCGCAAACATACCCAGCATGTCTTCGCCTGGGTCTTTTGTCAAGGTACTTTTACCAAGAAAACATGGTGCTTCGTTCTCAACCACACCAAGTTCCTCGTTCACCAACTCAATGAGCTTTGATGAACGCGTCAGATGGCGCTCGATGGTCCACGGATACTCGACTGTAAGCACTCCACCGTCTTTTATTCTATCTTTCAGCTCATGAGGTGTGCCTCCCAACGTCCTTGCAGCCTCTTCTTTTCGTCTAAGGAGCTCGTGCAGTGCTTCAGCTCTCTCTGTGGCCTTCTCACGCCACAATGGCCGAGACAGTATCGTCGACTCTGCCAGTATCTCGACTGCGTCCCATTGACAATGACAAGCCTGTAGAGCAACTGCGAGCAGCTCATACACCGATTCTCTTAGATCATTATTGGCATCCGGATTGCCTGCTTGCAGTAGTTTGGCTTTGTAAATGTCGCCGACTGCGAGCTCAGGGAAGTTGAGCATCCACATGCGACGGCCACGCTCGAACCAGGCTTGAGGATCATATGGGTGGTGTTGAATGCGCTGATTGTAGGTATCGAGAGATTCCAGGATTTCTCTAACTTGACTAGGATGTAATTTACCAGTTTGCTGAACAGTTCCGGAGCGGTATATAGAAGGCACATAACGCTGCGGCAATGCGGCATCCGTTGTGTCTGGACGCGTTGTACGCTCTGGCGCCACAGGTCGCGCATGTGTATCCATGGTAGTATCAAGAGCGCTGACATCAGTCCGGAATGAAGGTGTTGATTTTGCATCGCGATCGAATTGGGCCGCCCATCTATCGCCAGCTTCTTAGGGGACGTGCACAGAGGTAGCCGATGTGATGATGTCTGACGTCATCGTGAAGAGGTGACGGCTCACCTCGGCATGCATTATCTCCCATCATAATTGACATCAAGAGATCTAGCGGGATGGAAGAGCGCCAAATTCTATCTGAAATTTGATGAAAGTTAAGCCGTTGCATTGCAAATCGAGTGACCGTCACGAGCTCGGATCTACATGGAGACGTACCAGCGCAGCATTCGTCGGCAAGTTAAAGTTATTACATACCTAACTACCTAAAGTACCCCTTAAAGGTATTGCAATTGGATTATTACGAGACGAGCGCGCACACAAACAGATCTCGCCCATGGTCGCGTCTCGCTTACCTCACCAAGGAACCCTTTGTTTACCTAGGGACGTGCGAGGTGTTCCGAACCCTGCAAGTTTCATCGATAAGAATCCAACAAGCCCCTTCCCCGCTTCCTATGTCGTAGCACGACACATGTAGCTATCAAACAAGACACAGTCAAAGTAAATCGTGCTACCTTCGCCATGACGTTAATCCAAACCCTACCTGCGGAGCTCTTCGACCCAATCCTGAAAGTGTACGTCGATACCGTCCCGCTCCACGAGAGCTTTCGTGCTCGCATCGTGTCTCGTAAGTACATACTCGATTGCTTTGATAGAGATCCGAGCAGGTTCATATTAATTCTTCACTTTGCATCGGCATTGTTTGTTCGCGACTGATGCGTCTTTAGGGACGTTTCGAAATGCGATCGACCACGTACTGTTGGCGCAAACTCCGGCAATCGCCTACGAGACATATCTCCGCAACATCGAGCCGGAAGTTGATGACCGTCATGATAACGGACCACCAACTTTCCTCCGAAAGAATTCGCATACTTTGCACATGAATCATTGTATGCGCAATCGTGGTATGAACCGGGACTTGACCAAGTGCCTCAGTAAGTGAGAAAATGTTTTTGGCGAAAAGTCGAGTCCAAATTGCTAACGGAATATCGACAACAGACAAACTTACTGACGAGATGATGCAATTTGCGAACCCCACAAACGATGTCATTGACACTACTGTGCGCAAAGCCTATCTTAGTGATATATGTCTCACCTATAGCGTCCTAAGACCAGGCATGGAAATACTGCGAGATGGTTCCGACAAATATTCCAGCAAGCCGGACTTCTTACCCCCAGATACAATGGATAACGATCGAAGGAAAGATTTGAAGCACTCTGCAACGCCGATAACCTCGGTAGATCTTTTGACCGCGGCGGCCGCTGTGGGAAATATCGAAGCTGTCGATCATTTCATAGCACAAGGGGCAGACCCTCTGGGGTACACTTCTGGCATACTCACTGGCCCGATCAAAGCAGCTGCAGTGTGTGGCCACACTCCAATGGTTCTTAAGCTTGTAGAGCTTGCAAGACATGATTTCCCGACTCTTGGAGCGCGGGAACGTGACTGGATTCTCGTCACATTCGAGACTGCGGTGTGTCATGCCATGAAAGCTGGAGACACAGAATCAGTGCGAATGTTACTAGAATTTTTCGTCACTCGCCGTGAAGCCCGAATCCCGGAGATTTGGAAAAAGTTGATTACCGATGGAGCACAAAACGGCAAAACCGAAACCCTCGTGACGATTTTGAAGGACGATATCCCGAAACGCAATCCAGGGGATCACCACAGCGATTTGCAGTACGCGTTAAAAGAAGCTTGCGAAGCTGGACATTCCGAACTCGTATGCCGCATACTTGGTGGCGATTTCGTGCTTTTTAATCGGGATCACCTCATTCAACAAACATCACTGGAAGCAGCTCGTTACGGACATCGAAAGTTGGTCGATGTCCTCAGAAGCTACGGCGCCCATATCGGATCACAACATCTCGTCGAAGGTATGACAACTTTTGCAGACAGGGCAACGACTCACTTCCTTATGACCCGCCACCTGGTTGATGCGGGTGTTTCGATAGACGCGCAAGTTCTTAAGCAGTGTGAAAGTAAGGCATCTTTTGCACTACGTGCAAGACACAAGATGAAGCAGAGCCACTTCTGTCTTACTGATGGTGCCATGGTAACCATCTTGATTGCGAGCGAAGCGAAGCGACAGGGCTTACGGGCAGAACTCAAGTCGTGCGGCAGCATCAAGCTTCTACTGAGGCTAGTGCTTAATGGGAAGATCATAGTTCCTCCTGAGCCGCTGGATTTCATGAAACTGGCGGTAGAGGTAGTAGACTGGCTGGCTAGTGAGAGTCAGCCAGCGGCGTCTTAAACTGAAGGATATGTTTGCGTCACGAATGAGCCACTGCATACTCGGCTCGTAGAGTGAAGGATGATCTCATGAATTGAGTAATGCATTTAGAAAAGACAGTGTATACATACAATGCCTACCCACGCTTCTTCTGGCTACCGCTTGGTGATGGTCTTCTGCTCCTTTGCATCATCTCTCATCTCCTGCTTGATCTTGCTAATTATTCCTGCACCGCCATAGATCATAGCAGTGTATACCTGTGCCACACTTGCTCCCGCATCGAGAATCTCTCTCGCCTGCCGACCATTTGTGATGCCGCCCGTCGCGAATATAACTTTGCGTGGTGCGTTTGGTGCTGGCGCAGTTCTGGGTGTAGAGTGAAGGGTCATTGTAGGTGCTGATTCGGAAAGATCGTCGACGTTGGAAGAGAGTTGTGTTGGGGACGGTTGGTCGAGATCGAGCGTTGGCTTGGTCTTCGAAGACTCGGTAGAAGGCTTATCGTCTGTGCTCTGGCCAGCGGTTGGCTCGTCGGTGCGTGCTTCTGACGGTGGTGCAATGTGCTTTGGGCCTTCGTCAAGCGCTTTCCTGTACCTGCTGACAAGCGAAAGTGTGCGCTCGAAAGTTTGGGGACCTGAGTAACCTCCCTGTTCGAGAAGCAACTTTGCTTCTGATTGGGGAAGTAGGTAGCCCTTCGGCAGTGGGTCTGGTCGCTTCTTCGTGGTATTGCCAACGATGACACCATCCACACCGGAGTCCCAGACTGCCTCACAGATGCCTGACACCTGCTCTTCCGAGTCCTCATCGGGGCTGACTTTGACCATAACAACAGGCTTTGTCTTGCGGTCGATCTTTTTGACGGCGCCTACTACTCCGGAGAGCAATCGCGTCAAGGGCTCGACGTTTTGGAGAGTGCGAAGGCCAGGTGTGTTGGGCGAGGAGACGTTGACTACTAGAATGTCGGCGTACTTGCCAACATGGCCCACGGCGGTGGCATAGTCGCGTACTACAGCATCGATGTCGTTCTCGGAGGTCGTCTTGTTCTTCGCAACCTGCACGGCCATTAGACGCCCCTTGAGCAGCGAGCCTGGTGGAACGCCAGCTTCACCGTCGAGGACCTGGCGTTCGGCATCTTCACCCAGTCCAAGGCCAGCGTGGTATGCGAATTCCCTGACGCGTTGTCGTAACCGTGAGGCGACCAGCTCGGCGCCTTCCGAGTTGAAGCCGTAGCGGTTGATGAGAGCGTTTTGGCTGGGTATCCTGAAGACACGGGGCTTGGGGTTGCCCTCCTGTGGCAGCAGCGTGACAGCTCCCACTTCGACCACTCCTGCTCCGAGCTCGAACAGCGGTGTCGGTATTTCGGCGCCCTTGTCAATGCCAGCAGATGTTCCAATCGGGTTGTTCAGTGTGTGTCCAAAGACTTCGACAGCCAGATCACCCTGGGAGTCAGCCACGCCGCGTTCCCGAGGGTTCAGGCCAAAGCTATGCAGCACCTTGAGCATGTGTGTTCCAGCATGGTGCGCCTCTTCGCCATCTGGGTATATTTGTCGCAGCGCAGGCACAACAAGCCATTCGTGAATGCTCGCGCGCGTGTCGGTGACGTAGAGGTAGCCAAAGGTACCACCGAGCGTCAGGAGGGTGCCGTATACGAGGTTCTTGGTACGGGTACCAGCCGATCCAACGTTGGTCGCGGTTTCCGTGGCCGTCGTGGCCTGTCTTCTGGGGTGCTGGAACGGGCGATGTGAGGGGCGGCAGCGCGGTACCGATGGCCGTACGCGCAGAGCACGCATATTCGCGGCGGGGTTCATCATCATGGGTGTGATAGGGAGCCCATGCGACACTCAATGGCTGCACAATCGCCTGGTCGAGATGGCGCTGCCGACTTTGAGCCGTGAGGAAGCTCGGAACCAGCCAATGACGCGGGCTTGGCACTAGGTACCGGTGCCGCGTTTCCTACATCCTCTCCTTCTCTACACAACCTGATTTTGTGGCTGTATACGACACATCTGCAATGAAGTCGGTTCTTCTCGCATCTCCCGCTCTCATTTGATCTGACGTCTCGCCCATACTCATGTGGCGCATACTCGTTTCCCAAGCATGATCATCGTACCAATCTCAACAGTCGATTTCAACAACGACTCAAACTTTATCGATCTGGTCTTCTCACGGGTCACCTTTAGAGGCCTCGTTCAGTAGGCTGTAACTGCGGATTATATTACTCCGTCAGACGTTCTCTGGATTTGATCTCACAAGGGCTACTGATACTCCAGTCTTCATCATTGGCCGGACACCAGATCTTATTGGGATGCTCAATCATGAGCCATCGAGAAGTCCATCCCCAGCTTGATCTGCTCTTAGCGTAGAGCTTTCCGACACATTTCTTCGCTCCCCACAGCGATATCCCGGCCTGTTCATCTATTAGATTGCTCAGAGCTCAAGAGCCGAACAACATCCGGTGGTACGGGCACTTGCACGGAGGAACTACCATCTCAGAGAATACTTGCACCAATGGTATCAGCCATGCTCGCTACTAGGGTTATTCAGATTACTCCATGCGTATAGTCTGTAGGATGACACCTGCTTGCGGGGCGCAACGGTCCCACCGTACAAGCTTTCATAAAGCTTGAGTATCTTAGCTTTTCTCCACTGTTCCTTACTTCACAGGACTCTGTTCGAAGTCGACAAAATGACTCAGCTCGCTTTACTTCATCTATGGCTTCTGCTCGTACCAGCACTTGCTGGTATGACCAAGACCGGCACACTCTGCACCGTCACTCCGTCCGGCACCAAGGATGACAGCCCTTCCATCATGGACGCCTTCAAGCAATGTGGCCAGAACGGTCAGATTGAGATAACGACAGGTGACTACACCATCGCCAAAGTTATGGACGTCCTGGACCTTAAGAACTGTGACATCTCCATCCGCGGCAAACTGACTTGGAGCGACGACATCCAGTACTGGGTACGCAACAGCGTCAGTGTGACATATTCTCAACGAAGTACAGCATTCCGTCTTGGCGGTGAGAACTTCACTCTGCAAGGTCACGGTGAAGCACTCTTCTTTGGCAATGGGCAGAAGTGGTACGACGTGAACCGTGATGGGAGCAACATGGCCGGTAGGCCCATCAGTCTGACACTCTGGCATGCGAAGAACGTATGGATTGATGGAATTACTTGGAGGCAGTCCCAGTTCTGGTATGTCTCTCCAACGACATGAGGAACCATACTTACCGGTTGTGAGCCCATTGCTAACCGCACAACAGGCATACATTCGTCGCCTACTCGCAGAACATCACGATGACAAACCTTGACATGAACGCCACTTCATCCTCCCAGTGGGGTACCGTCAATACTGATGGCTTCGATAGCTGGAACTCCCAAGATATTGTTCTCAAAAACTGGGTGGTGACGTGTGGCGATGTAAGTCCTCATCGATCTCGTGTCTGTGCTATACCTAATCTATTCGAAGGACTGCATATCGGTTAAAGGCAACAGCAAGAACATCCATGTTAAGAATGCCACCTGCTACGAGTCTGGCGCCATGGTGATTGGCTCAATGGGCAATCCCACGAACGTTCCCGAGACTGTAGACAACGTACTCTTCGAAGACATTACTGCCATTCATAGTTCCAACGCGGCCTGGATCAAGACATACCCTGGCCAAGGCCATGTGAAGAACGTCACCTTCCGCAACATCAAGTTTCAGGACGTCAATCAGCCTATATACGTCTCCCCGTGCATCTACAGCTACCAGAATTGCGATTCAAGCCGCTTGAAGATTAGCGACATTACCTGGGAAAACATCACTGGTACCTCGAGATACAACGTGGCCGCGGGTATCTACTGCAGTCGTGGCGCACCTTGCTTGGGCTTGAAGTTCAAAAATATCGATATCAGGCCGAAAAATGGTGGTACGGCGAAGATACTTTGTTCCAATATGAACAGCGACAGTGGATTAGCATGCACTGGTACCTGCCCGGCAGGATGGAAACAGCAGCTAAGCGGCAATGCTTAAACTTTGGGTGTTAGTTCTATGTGCAGGTCGCATGCGCCTAGGCACTAACACCTCCGTACAAAGCGTCCAGTTTCTGCTCATACAAATCCAGCAAAGCCTTTTTCTGCACTGTTCCCTTCGCCGTCTTTGGGAACGGCTCTTTCACAGCCAGTATCATATCCATTCCCACCCGCGCATAAACCGGCGAGCTCTTGTTCACTTCCTCCACCGTATCCCAAATCTCATGCACATCCTTCCCATCTTCCATCCTAACAATCAACGAGGCTTTAGGCCTTCTCGTCCCTACCATCGCTACCTCCGCAACTGAAGCATGACTTGCAACCCTCTGTTCTGCCGCCGTAGGGAAGAACTTCTCGTTCGTCAGAAAAACGAGAAGATCATCAGCCCGGCCGTAGTGTTTCCATCGCTCTGAATCTTCGTGATGCTTTGTAAATAGATCGCCCAGTCGCCTTTCCTTTGCGTCTGGGAAGATGGAGAAGATGGGTTGTACATAGCCGCCGTGCTCGTTCCCGTCGTTGCGGTGCATGACAGCTTCATATAGAGTGACACCGTCCGTGGAAGCAGAAACAGGGTCGAAGCGGATATTGAGAGCGGGGTGAAGTGTCGTGTACTCCCAGTACGCAGATTGCACTGAGTTTGCATCTTTGCGACGAATACTGGGCCAGACGCCGAGTTCGGTCGATGCCATAACATTCAACACAGACACCTGCGCTGCGACGAACTCACTCGCATGACTACTCACACTGCCGCCACCCCAGCCGATTTGTTGCGTTCTCTGGCTGAGTCTCTGTAGGACTTCTGGGCTCTTGCTTAGATACTCGACACAGGGTGGCACGAGTGTCAGGCAATCGACACCGACGCCTCCATCCCTTGCGGCGATGATGTCCAAAGCAGCTAGTGCGCTGTCCACACCCGCAGCTGGTGTCATCCATGTCGGCGGGTAAATTGGTGTTACACCAAGCTGCAGTGGAAAGAGGATCATACCGATCATACCGCTGGCGTGGAAAGG